CAGCCAGGCTCTGGACCTAGAGTCCAGTGAAACTGTCTGATCACCTGCACACCCCAGGCTGTTTGCAGTGACTTAGGCCAACAGAGTCTCTGTTGTTTAAAACAGTTAGACTCTAGAGAAACCAAACACAAGATCAGACAAAGACCCTCTCTTAGGCTGACCCTTGAAAGCAGAGAGTAGATGGAGGAAGGGGAGGAGGAGGGGAGGGCAGAGAACAGGGGGAAGGAAAACAAGGGGGAGAAGGGTGGAGGACTCTGGGCACTTTGGTGGTGGCGAAACTGTGGAGACTGCACCTGAGGGGGAAATCCTACACTGCACACAGTAAGCAAGCACGATAAAAAAAATCTAGTGACGAAATTGTTGGCATTGAGATTTCTGCTGTATGCAGCAGAGAGCATCTCAACTGGTACAACTGGGTTAAACAAAGGTTAACTCAGGTAACTTCCAGAGGGTTCTCCCAGAACCTTGACTGTGTTCACAGGCACTGTTAGACTCAAGAGAAGCATCAGGTATGCACTACGGTTGTATGTTGCTTCAGAAAGGGAAAGTTTGTGAGAAATGCATCAATAAGAGACTGTGAATATCAGAGTGTCCAACTGTACAGGCCTGGATGGTACTGACTACTGCTCACTTAGGCCTATGGACACCCTGTTAGTATATGTGATTCACTGATCAAAATACCACTGAGTCATGCATGCCTGTATTTTCCAAATGAATTGGGCTCTGGGTTTAGTACTTTCCTAGTGCATCTTACAGCACATCAAGCCTTACGCCCAAGTTTTATAAAGTAGAAATTGAGATCCAGGGTTTTAAATGACTTCTCAGCTATCATAAGTAGTTACTGGTCTGTACTTAGTATGGAAGCCTCCTGATACCTAGATCTGCATTATTGCTTCAAGCTCATCACCCTTATCTGCTCAAAGAGGGTCCCTTGTTGAGAACAGACCTTAAAATATCTATATCTATATCTATATCTATATAAAATTCTCTTGTGGACACCCCTGAGTTCCAGGGTGTTATAAAGGCTCACAGGCAAAACAAGCATTTCAAATAAGTCTAGAGAGTCTAAAAATTTTTTAAGAGGAACCAAAACATAGATATGCTACCTCCTAACACTGACATCAGATGTCAGCTGCCATTTTTTAAAAATGAGTTAATACTGCTTCCCACTATATTTGGTTGATTTCATTCAATTACTGTTGGGGGACCGAGGCCGGCATCTGGAGTCTGTCAGCAGCCATAAAAAGGTGAAATGGAGTCCGGATAGAGAAAAACATCCGGGCTGTAAAAGGCATGCAGGAAGAACTCCTTGCCCCCACCTTTTCTTTCTCCTCTTTCTTCTCTCACCCACCTATTATCTAACCACTGCTCCATTCTCGCCCATTTTTGTCCCTCGCGAGAACCATGTTATCAAACACTGCTACATGTCTAGTGTCCATTGGCTTTCTCCCTTCCCGACTTCTGCATCCCCCACCTCTTGTATTTTATATAAACCAGATAAAGAAAAAATAAACTCTCTCTCTCTGTTCTGATACACATGTGTGACTGTTTTCTTTGTTCGCCGGCCCTGGGGCTCCGACTCTCCGGCCTTGCTGGTCAAGGTCCTCGACAAATTACCTATCTGCCTTGTGTATAATACTTTGTTATGCTAAAAAAGTAGAAATTTTCCAAACTGACATGTTACCAGACATACACAAAAACCTTCCAACCTTAGTAAGTCTGGGACAACACTGGGTTGATCAAAGGTCAGCACATTTCCTGACTATGTGTTTTTTCTTAGCCTTTATGGGCTATGGGTCAGAAGAGGCTCTTTTTGAGCCATGGGGGTCTTTTTTTCTGACCATCTCTTTGTCACTACCATTTCACTGCCATGAAAATCCCTGCGCCCTTTCCTGGCAGTGAGCTAGAGGGCTCGTGTCATTTTCCTAGGCTTTTATCACCTGAGTTTTCTTCTACTCTCTACAAGCTATTTTGAGAGGACACCTGGATGAGGCTGTGCTTCAGTCACACTGATATTATCCTCATGAACAGGCCCCTATTCTGGGATGCCGAGGGCAGAGGGATTCTGAGAGAGGATGGAGAAAAACTACAGGCTAATATCCTGCACCTTCCTCTCCAAAGATGCAGGTTCTCATGCAGCTGTGTATCTGCTATGAAAATAACAGTGAAGGACACAGGTGGAAAACAAAGTCATGGGGTGGGGGATTGGGGTCACAGAAAAGCCCACGTTCCTAACACTCTGTAAGGAGATGCATCATATCCCACCGATTAATCTCTCCTCCTCATAAATTCCTTCTTCAAAAGTGGGGAAGCACTAATCTCAATGCTAGGCATCCAGAGTTCACAGCCAAACCACACCTCCCTCTAGCTGAAAACGAAACCTAATGCGATAGACTTTCAGTTGGGAGCTTCCCAGGAAGGAGGCCGAAGCCCATGTGGGAGGCATGAGCTTTCCTCTGAGGGCTGCCAGCAGACAATGCTCCCTTGTATCAGAAGTTCCCCTTAGAGATGCCCTCATGCAACTTTCCAGCCAGCTCCAAAACGGTCATGTGGCACATTCCTGGGAAAGGGCCCCCCCCCCAAGCCCCCCCAACCCCCTCTCTGAAGGAAGTGTCAGGGGGATGGGCTCCTGAGAGAGGTGGGTGTTTTCCTTCTTTGGCAAATCAAGCCCTCATCTGTCTGCTGGAATCAGTCACGCAAGCTGCTAACAGCCATCCCAGCCAGACTCCTGTCACGGCCTCTCCTAAGCCTGAGCTCAGCTCCCTCACCGCTGGGCCACAAGTATTACTCACAAAAGGAAGACATGTGGTAACTCTATCTTACCCCTTACTGACCAAGGCCATGTTCCTCATGAGCCAGTTTGGTCATGACCTACTGCACTTTTGTAACGTGTATAAAATAGCATTAAATAATGTGGTAAGACTGGGAGCAGTTTCTGCTTTGGTTGGGACAACAGCAGCGAGGAAGCTAAAGGCAGGCTAGATCATGGAGCTGGTGTGGGTTTTACATTCTTAATCAGAGACATCCTATCTTGCGTACGGAGCACTGATTTCACATCAGCACTTTCCAAGTTTTATCATGTGCAATTCTCACAATCATCCCGGAAAGGTTGCAGTTTTCCAAGTGACAAAATAGGTTCAGAGATGTTCATTGACTTGCCTATGGTCACACAGCAATGAGAGATGAAGACAGGTAGCATATCTCCAGTACCAATTTCCTAATAATGTTCTCTACCACTCCCCTGAAAAACAGGGGTACCTCTTTCCTCCCAGGGTCTCCAAACACACTTCAGTGTACTTATGGTTATAGTGGATTATAAAGTTAAGAATGTACATAAAATTCTGCAACAATGAACACATTTGATAGAATAAAGAGCAAATAAAATGCCAAGAAAGGAAAAAAAAAAATTGGGCCCTCCCTGGTGGCGCAGCAGGGTAGGACACAGCAAGTTAGGACACAGTGCTACAAGCTGGCTGCAGCTGCTTCAGTGCGACTTCAATCCTTCATCCCAGAGGTGACCCACACGGCGTGGCAGACCTCTCCTGACCCGCCCGCTGCTTCCCTCCGCAGTGTACTTCATTGATCTGCCTGTTCTGCTCCCCACTCTGTCTCTGGCTTGTACCCCTCTTTTTTTTTTCTTTTTTTTGGACTTTTCGATCTCACTATATGGCACTGAAAAGTTTCACTGAATTAGAACAGTGCCATGCCCCAACTTCACCCACCTGCACCACCAAAAAGATCAGTGTTGGGCCACCACGAATCCCCAAAGTGCTTATGCTTTACCTGCAGTAGATGTGGCACGCTCGGTGATTGATCACTTTGTCGGACCTGTATCTGCGGAGGTCTTCCCAAGCATCCTTTACAGCTGTGACTGCCAGGATGATACAGAAGGGGATCATATTCACCTCTGGCTCAAAGGCATTGACCACAGGGACAAAATTCAGAATTATGATGCCCAAGAAGTAGAAGTTGGCAAAGCGATGTAGCTGCTCAAAGAGGTTCTTGGGTAGGAAGGACAGCACTGTGTACTTGCTGGTCTTAATTCGATTCCCATGATAATGTCTGTTGGGATTCTCTTTGCAGGACAATCCTTCAAAGGGCAGGTTGGAGACCACCACTCGTTTCTTGTGTTCTTTCGTCTTCTGCTTTCTCCTGTCTTTTCTCATTTCTTCCCACTCCCGTCTTTTTAATGCTCAGAGCATGGCACCTGATGTTCTGGTAAAATAATTTTCTCCCCTGATCAGCTGCATTGTTCAACTGCCTGGGAGCCTTGGGCTTGACATCTTTTTCTTGCCATCTCTGCTGAAAGTTTCTCTCTCTTCTTTCAAAAGGAAAAATGGCAAATAAAAACCACCAGTATACAAACACAAAGGAAGAAGGAGATTGAGGAAAGAGTTGGCAGAGAACAGGTGTGTACCTGCCAGGCACTGCTCCTGCTTGTCGAGGCTCCACCTGTTGGAATGTGGACGTCACCTGCAAGTATCTTCCTTTCCCACCCTGGCAGCCAAGAACAGGTGCACCAATCCTGGGTCATAAAACCTACCCGCTTTAAAAGTGATAAACATTTCCTTCTTTGGGAGCCACTGTCTGTCACCCTGCAAAGAGCTGATCCTGAACTGGGTCTCCTGAGATGATGTGGTCAATTCTAGAATTTAATTCCTGAGCTTTCCACCTCTGTGCTTAGTAACACAAGTGTTTACACAAGATAAATTCAGTTTTCTTAATCTCAGCACTACTGACATTGTGGGCTGGATCATAATTCTTTGTTGTGGGGAATGTACTGTATGTCACAAAAATATTTAGTATCACCCTTATTTTTTACCCACTTGATACCAGGCATGTTCTCCTTCCCAGGATGACAACCAAAAATGTCTCCAGTAGAGAATCACTGAGTTACATGAACTGAATGAAAATAATGTGAGGAGTAATGCCGAGCTTTTCAAAATGCTAATGAGTTGGTATAACCAATTTTCAAGAGCAGAACAAGCAATTTCCCTTACCTTTCATATATCTGGATGCTGGAACAGTTTATCTCTCTGTCGAAGCAGTGTCTCCTAAAGTCCTCCATGCCATCCTTTACCATGATGATGAACAGGACAACTGTCAAGGGCACCATGGTGATTTCCTTGTGGAAGACTTCCATGGAGGGGACCCAGTTCAGGATCACCAGGAATAGGAAATAGAGGTTAGCCCACCTGGAAGAGGCAAGTAAGGTGTGAGCAAAAACCATGGAGAGGAAAAATATCCTCTCTGTCATCTATGCTCCTGTTGGCCCTCACCAACCACGATGACGTTCCTTTTCAAAGGCCATCCAACATGGCAGTCAGGGCCTTATATACCCAGTCAGATTCAAACTCAGTTCTCATTGTTTATAAATGGTGTGGCCATTCTGTGCCTGTTTCACTTTGTGTGGCATGGGTTTACTACAACCACCTTGAAAGGGTCCTCACATTGGATGATGTCAACGACTAGGAGAAGGCTCTGGCACATTGCAGTTGCTCAATAAATGGTGGTTTATGGCAATAAGTACACAATTTAGGATACAACCTACGTGAATACTTCACATTAAAAATTAAAATATGATTACATATATGTTATTATGAAAAGAGAGGAATGCATTTTTAAGTTTCCCAAGTGCTTCCTGCTCCCTCTTATCACACAGTACTTTTGTTTATAAAGATCTATCTATGGGAACACTCTCCTGACTCCCTTCCCTGACTTCTCCCAGCCCTTTCACCCAGATAACACATGCTCCTCTTTCAGGTTAAACTTCAACTGTCACTGCCTCAGGGAAGCTTTCCCTGCTTTTCCCTATAGTTCATTTTAATAATTGCACCCTTATCTTCTCATTGGGAATGTCAGTCTGAGTTATAATTTTTTATCAATTTACATGCTGTTAAAAATGAATGTCTTTTTATGGAAACAACCCAAATGCCCAAAAGTATATGACTGGATTAAAAAGATGTGGTACTAGACACAATGGAATATTACTCAGCAATCAAAAAGATAAACACATGCTTTTTGCAGCAATATGGGTGAGCTGGAAAGTATAATCCTTCGTGAAATAAGCCAGAAAGAAAAGGAAAAATACCAGATGGTTTCACTCATAGCATGGGTACAAAGGACCAGGGGAGAAAATAATAATAATAATGAACAACTATATACCAGAGACATTTTACGGAGGAATGGGGAATGGGATCAAAAACAGTGGGGGCAGGAGTGCACTGGACTATGGTGATGCCACACGGGTTATTTGGTGATGGGAAGCACACGGGGATTACAACTGAGATAGAAAAAAGGCACAAAATGATGTAAAAATAAACTATTATGTTAAAATAAAATAAAAAGAATGTCTTTTTCACTATGTAATACCCTCAGTCAGCACAGTGTGTCTGTATCTCTTTTTTCTCTGTCACCATTAGCACCAACACATGGCATGACATGGGAGAATTTGATAATTCTTTATTGAATAAATAGGCGTATCTGACAAGGCTTCTAGAGGGCGATGCATTTGGATAATAAAGGCAAGATGGCCGTAGACCGGCATTTCTGACTGAGTCAGCAGTAGACATCTGGTCAAAGTGTGTATGGTCTGGACAGGTGGCTGCATACCTGTGAAACTGTTCAAAGAGGTTCTGGGGCAGGAAGGTGAGGAGGGTGTACTTGGTGGTGCAGATCCTGTTGCTGGCATATCTCCCACGAATCTCTTCCCACTCTTGGTGGAAGATGCCATTTGGGGGGAAGATGACCCGCTGCTGTGTCAGGTTGTAGCTTGGCCCTGCTCCCTCTGTGGACAGCAGAGGTGTGACTTCAGATGGAGACTGAGGTTGGTCATCTCTGACCCGCCACTTCCACCTGTGCCAAGAAGAGTCCACGGAGAGGGCCATGTCGGGAGCCAGCAGAGGTCTGAAAACAGATACACGAATCTCTGTGGTCAGGACAGGTGGCACATCCACTCACCCACATGTCCACCTGTCCCTCCCACGTACGTGCAAGGATCCAGGCCGCAGAGTCATTTCAGCCCTATAATCTACATGTCCTAGGGTAAGAGACAGTAAGCAAATACTCCCATAGATGGTAAGTAATTACTACTGTGATAAGTGCTGCTGTCACAGCACTTTGGAAGTATTTGAAGGCAAGTATTTGGATCTGGGCGCAAAGGGATGGCCTGGGGGCTCTGCCCCTGAGCTGTCTCTTTTCTGTGCTGGTTCAGTTTCTTCACCATTACCTGAGGAGAACTGTTCTTACTATACTTTTCCACAATGAGCAGCAAATTGCATGGTATGTAAATGTATGCTGACATCTGTCTTAAAGGGACAGGCAGATATTCATTAATTTTTCTCTAAAATACTGTGTGACTGATAGTTGGAGAACTTCACAGATTTGACTTGAGTTGGGGGCCTCCGTCTGTCAGAATCTTAAGAGTGATGCGAAGGAGAAAGGGGCTTTTGTGGGAAAGTGGCTTTTTTTGTGGTCGAGTCACTGGGCATGCTGGCTGCTCTTCCACAAACACAGAGATTTGATTCTGATCATTTTGGCTGGGGGGCAAGGGTAGGCAACTCCTTCCTTCCTTTCCATTTTATTTGGTCGTTTCTGGAACTGAGCACTTTGTCAATTCTTCCTAGAAGCTAAAGCATGCTGCTTTACTTGTCTAGAACAGTCCAGCTGCTGCATTGTGCTTTTAATGGAACTACTAGCACACCTTCATTTTTTAATCTTTAAATTTAAGTTCATCTTTATGTAGATAAATGTTATGTAAAGACCCAGACCCAGACCCAGACCCAGACTGGGCTATTTATTTAAAGATATCCTTTGGAAGATAAGAAGTTATATAGAATGATGCTGATCAACTAGTAGGTTCACAGAATGATTTCTTTTTTTATAAACGAGAATCAGGTATTACTACACTGTCAGGTATTACACAGAGCAACTCCACCTGTCATTGCAAATAGGATTCACTTAAGGAGAAAAGTTCCACTTCCACTTTACATGGTAATACCATACCTTCCTGATGCCCATATGATGTGATCCTCAGTCATAATTTTCCTCATGACTTTAATCAGTCCAAATTATTTTCAAGACCCCAGAGCTGCCAGAAGCTCCTCAGTAGCAAGTGAGTCTCCGTAGCAAAATTAAAAAATAAATGCTGGGCCCTCCTTGGTAGTGCAGGGGGTTAAAGTGCTGCACTACCAAGCTAGCTGCAGCTGCTTCAGCATGAGTTCGATCTCTGGTTAGGGAGCTGACCCACATGGCGCGGCAGACCTCTCCTGTCTTTCCCGCTGTTCCCCTCAGCAGCGTACTTCGTCCATCTGCCTGTTCTGCTCCCCATTCTGTCTCTGGTGAATCCTGTCACCACCCTGCACCTCTGACCTGTATCCAGTTCTGTATGTATAAATAAATAAATCTTTTAAAAAAAAAACAATGCTATTGCTAATGCCCATCATAATGTGACCAAACGCAATACTATTCCATTTGGTAGCCCTAAAATAATACTGTATATTTTCTTTCTCATTATAGAAAAAAATATGCCCCTTTCCTGAAGTCTTTATCTTTATTGTTAAATAAAAGGAAATGAAAAGGTAACTCATGAATAGAGTTAATGCAAATGGAAAAATCTTGTCTTGGCTAGTGCCATTCACATCAGACTTCTCACCATTTTAGGTGATAAGATCTTCATAAAGGAAGAGATTGCCTAGGTATGGGAGAGATACGGGTATTTTAGGTGAGGTGGTTTAACAAGTCCATTATTATAATCATATTCTTTAATTTTTCATTAACACTATAGAGCAAGCTTCCTTAAACACAAAGCAGATGTAAACTGGACACCAAACCTCGGGGTGGAAGTTTGATGAGGAACTGCAGAGCTCCACAGTTTCAATGTCCTACCCCCTCACACCCCACCTCTGCCATTATCGTGGTGAAAATAAAAATCACTGTGTAGTAGAGATTTCTGGCAGACACCATCTTACTGGGGAGACCAAAGCAAATGCCGCCAATGTGGGGACAAGTGACATGATGTACTGAGAAGTCACTTTTAGGTCATAAGGAAGTGCAGGAGAACCTCAGAATGGGACACCATTCTACCAAAATTGCCTAATGCTTTTCAACGGTCAAAGAAAGCAGAGAAACTTTCAGATGAAAGGAAACAAGATATGACACTAAGTGTAATGTGTACGATCCTGGGTTGGACTTTGGACTAGGGTAGGTAAAAGGGGCTTAGAGACATTACTGGACAGTGGGAGAAATTTGCATACGAATTGCACATTGGGTAAGAGCATTTTAATAGTGCCACACTTCCTGATTATGATAAGTACACAGTGGTTACTTAAGAAAATGCTGTTCCTAGGAAGTTCATCTAAAGTATATACAGATAAGGAAGACTCCATGATTTGGAAAATAATATATGTATTTGTCTATGTGTGGGCATGTATTTATATAGGTAATCAAAAAACACACACATACAAGCCAGCAGAGTCAAAGAATTCCAGGAAAAAGAACATTTATGTCAACATTTAACTGAAGACTTGCACTGGATTTAGTAGGAGAAGAAACTGCAAAAGTGTATTCCAGAACTGGTTCTAGAAATAAATGTCCTAAAGAGGACATGAAAGCAGGGGACAAAGAGCGGCTGAACAAGGCTGGAGAGATGGAGACAGGGGCTGATGGTCTGTAGGGGTCATTTATTATGCAGAAAGTAAGAGAAGTATGGAAGAGTTTAAGGCAGGGAAGCAACATAGCAGAGCTGTGGATTCCAGATTGTTCTGGGAGAAACCCATGAGAATGCAGTGGAGGGGCGTTTGGGGGGAAGGATGCCCTGTATAAACTCCACACGTTTTGTGGCCTCCACCTCCACGCCAGACCGAGGCCAACAAGACAACAGAAACTACAAATTTCCAGCACTACGGTCGGGAGGATGCTGGGACCTGAGGGTGGCAGCCAGGTGTGGTGTAAAACCGGACATATGGGTCTTGGGGATCTTTTACTCACTTGGCTTTTGGGTTTCTTGGCCTCTGGCTCTCAGGGTGCCATTGAGATTACAGGTCAGTGGAACCAGGAAGCGTTTAGCAATTTATCTCCCTTTCTTCCTCCCTGAAAGATTCACTTCTCCTACTTTTGTAAATAAGCCCTTTATTAACATGTTTGTGTGTGCCTGCAGCTGAGTCTTATAAATCACTTTAAGTGCACGGGTGAGGACCCACAGTCAGGCAACCCATTTCACATTGGGCCAGGATGGGGACAGGGAAGGATCCCTTGACACCCACTCTACCCTCACGTCCTACAACTAAATGACTTCTTTCTGAAAGTAGAAGAGGAAGCAAAGTGTGATTGCATAATCCCTTTATCGGGGCGCGGTTTGGTTTACTGCTGCTTTCAGAAAGGGAGAGGCAAGGCGAAAGCAGCACTCTTAGGTCCTGCCAGAGGTAAACTCTTTCATTCTAATTTCTTGAAATGTCCCCTCTCATCAAATCTCAGATGTGAGGGTTACCTAGTTTTTCTAATTCACACTCAGGTGCATCTGGCTTGAAGTGATCATCTTTTCCAGCACCAGCATCATTTTCCGCAGGCCAGAATATCTCCCAGATAGTGGGAGAACCTTCTCACCTGGTGAATCATTAGCCTAACATGCAGGGCTATTTACTGTTTGCTGGGAAATCCTGTTCTCATTCCCAAAGGTCTCCCATTTCCAATGAACTCCACTTTTTCATTTTAATTTAATTCAAGTAAACCCCATTTTGAGCAAATTCCATTTTCACTCTTATGCAGTCGTTCTATATTGCGTCAGCCATTGGTTGAATCAACAAATGTCCTTGGAACAGTGGTTCTGTGCCAGGTAAAGAAAAACTTACAAGTCCATTCTTGTTCTCCTGGAGTTTGTGTTCTAGTAAGACAAAGATTTCAACTTTGCACTCATAGAAAGAAATCGATTTGCTAACCAGGATAAATGCCAGAAAGAAGACTGGGCTGGGTGGGGGATGGGAATACGCTGCAGGGGATGTAATGACTGGGTCCCTGAGGAGGTGGGCATTGAGCAGAGAGATCAGAGGATGAGGCGGTACCTGATAAACACCGAGTGTGAGTGTGCCGGTGTACACACATGTACTGTCACATGTACATGCCTGCATGTTCTATGCATACCAGTGCTGTTTGTATGCCTATACCATATGTATGTGTGTGTGTGTTTACATATGTTTGCACATTTCGTGTGTGTGTAGAAGAGAGTGAACATCCTAGCAAACATCAGCCTTATCTGTGAGGTTCCTGTGGTAACAGCAAACAAACTGAATTAAAAAAATGCAAAGGTCGAAGAGGGCTAGAAAGAAGGCAGAAGTGATTACTAGAAGATTCTTTCCCCTTCACGTACAGTTCTCTAAAAAGTATGTCATTTGGTCAGGATGACAGAAGAAAAGAATAACCCAGAACATTTATTTTAATCTACATTTAGGGTTCTTAATATATAGTACTATTCTGATATTAGCTTTAATTAGAATCTAAGCAAGTTTGGCTTTCAATTAGCCACAGATTTTTTTTTAAAGCACTTACCCTGAGGACAAATGTGTAAATCTCACAAAAACCAATTTCCTGTTATGTCTACTTAACAAACAATAACCATTAAAAGTTAATAGTCTGGAGTTAGCATGTCCTTAAGTCAAATATTTACATCAGTTTCATTCAAATTATAATTGCTCTTTGAATCGCTTTTCAATTTTTGCTGCACCTAAATATCCTGTTTTATTAAATGCAGTGCATTTTAACTCAACTTCACTTGTTAAATGCTTTACCTTTATGCTAAGGCTGTGATATCTGAAATTAAAGGGTTTGACACACTGGATCTTGAAAAAATAGATCCTAACAGAACCCATTTTTATTAATATAAAAACTGTCAGTTCATAAGCATTCCCAACCAC